AATGGATGGGTGTTTATAGGTATTTATTTCAATAACTTAATAGTGATTAATAACAGTGAAAGATCTATATGAGAAGTTTTATTTAGAATTTTAAGGTGTACACTGTATGTGCCTTGGTGTGTATCAAATTGATTTTTCAAGATTTGTAGTTAAAAAGAAAATATATATATATATATATATATATATACCCATTGAAACAATACAGACTAAATGAAACTAGAAAATAAACAAGAAAAAATTAAAGTGTTGAAGAACATGTGAAAATACACCAGAAATTGTGATAATCATAATTACCCATAAAGCCCCAAAAAATGCTCTTAGCAACTTATCCAATACATGGTTATTTTTAAGGCTAGTACATTTCAGTAAGACTATCAAGATTGCTTAATCTTCATTATGTATATGTATTGTTCTAATTAAATTGTACTCAAAACTAAAGAGTTTATCTTCTACTCTTTATGGCACTCTACGGGTGTCAGAGAGGGAAGTAAACATTTCTTTGGCAACTCGAGTGGTTTGGTCGAGAGATTGATCTGTTACAGTTGCTATGTTTTTAATGTCATCAACCCTTCTTTTTGGTCTTTGTTTATTTCCATTAATCCTAAGGTTGTGCAATCTTTGTGATAATGATGTTAGGCAGCTATCTCACTTGTACTTGGATTTGATGGAGAATGAGGTGACTTAATGACATAATCACTACCAGATATCAGCATAAATTAACACATACATATATCTAAAAGAAATGGCATAGTGCAGCAAGATACTGGTATTCATCTTCTATAACTGTGTAACAGGTTATGCTTATAGAATAGTATTGATAGATTTTTCATAATAACTAACAGTTTTTCAAATTAACAAATACTAAGGAGGATTCAATAAATATATGTAGAAAGCAACATCTTCATAAGCAGAGATATACAAGAAAAATATAGGACAACAAGTATGGCTGGAAAACATTTTAGTATTAATATATATATATATATATACATATACAGATGTTGCTGAAATATGTAATAGCACTTATACATATATACACACACACATCCTCTAGTTGTATCATAACTGATAAAAAATGTCCTATTTAGATAATCAGCTATCATGAAAGTACTTGAACTGAATTTTAATTTGAAGAGATTGGCATACAATCACACTTGAGTACAAGTTCATGGTACATACATGTACAAACTCATATTGTTGAAAAATTGAATTTATTTGAAATAATATTTTTCAAGCTTTGTTGAACTTGGTCATGATCTGCCCTAGTTTCAATACAATACAGTAAATACCTTGACTGCAATAAAGCAAGGCTACGTTTGAGAGATGAGTTTTCTGTGTTACCCTCATGCAACAGTAGTTCTGAGGTGCCCCGTTGGGGTCTGTCCCCCAGTTATTATATGATGGTTTCATTTCTTGCTCTTCTGTACATCTCATTTCTGTTGTAATGATCTTTTGTTTTTGTCTTTTTCTAAGAGTCTAAATCTTGTAACTTGTAGCACAGTGTTGAAAAAAGAAAAAAAAAGAGATTTGTACTAGGTTGAGCTTGGTACTTGTTGGGATGTTGGCATAGGGAAGATAAGCAACAGCTGTTTAGGTATTTACAGTAGATCCTCGATTAATGGGTACCTCGAAACAGTGGGCACCACACCATTAAGGGCAGACTTTTTCAGTCTCTTTTTTTTTTTTACTACTATGTGTAACCAAAATAAATCTTGCAATAATGGGCACCTTGATATTCCAAACTAAGGGCAGTGTCTTTAGTCTAGTTCTCTATACATGCACTTGATAAAGCAGGCAGTTGTCTTTGTATGTTTATACGATATATCACTAAATTCCAAACATCTCGGAAGGATGACCAACATTCAAACACTTTGGATGTTTATTGGATAGGCTCTGAACCATACACTGTAATAAACCTTTTCACCGATTCAAAGTGCAATGTTATTACTCTGGGGAATTCTCATTGTAAACATTGTATGATACATAAGATGATAAATTCCACATCGTGTTCTCAGAGCAGGGGTCAAGTCGGCTTATTTCTGTGCATGTGCTTTGTTGCTCTCAAGTGTCACATATTTCTTATGTCACATAAACAGTCTAATGACACAAGCGGTGATTTGGTGCTTTATTTTCAGTGGATTTCTACTTCAGTTGTTGACAGTAAAATAAACACAGAAAATAAATGTGAAATGTTTAGCAGTCCAAACTCTGAAGAGAAATACTTTAAAACTTTGTGACCAGTAATAAACAAAAAGGGCACAGCTAATTCACTTCCTGAGATTTCCTGTTTACAACGCTCCATGTCATGACAATGTGCAACTCATGAACACCAGTGTCCTGAATACACCAAACAAAATGGGGGCCTCAAAATTCAGAAATTTAGTATGGTCAGTATGGAAGCCAGCTTTGTGTGGCTCATTTTTGATATTAAGGGCACTTTGCTATAGAGAGCAGTTGGAAGGGTGCCCTTAATGTCAATGTTCTACTGTAATTCACTTTTGCACAACTTGTCATAGTCTTTCTGTCCAGCTTCCCCTCCTTAGTGAAAATGCAACCCAAATATTTCAACTCGAAAGTTGTTTGATGGTATTTCCATTAATTGTCTGCTGTTCATCAGTGTGGTTTCTGTTAAACACATTCTGCAACTTTTCTGATTATATACATGCCGTGTCTTTTACTTTCTATATCTAGTTCATTAAAGTGTAGTTGAACTTTGTCTGTCTCCTAGTTGAATATACTGTGGTTATCAGCAAAGAGCATTTCATTCAATCCTTTCTTTGCTTGTTTTTCTTATTTACAGATATTGTAGGTGTATGGCATGAAAAGTAAGGCTGACAGAATGTAGCTTTGTCTGACTCCTGAGGACACATTGGACCAGTTCATTGATCTTGTCTTTGTCCTGATAGCTACTCTTGCTGTCTTTATATAATGCTCTTAAAATTTTAATCATTTGAGTAGAAACACCATTTTGAGAATGTCCTATAATTCGCTTCATTTGAATATTGAAGGCCTCTTCTTGGTCAAAAAAACTTTTAATTTATCATCACATTCTATTATCTGTCAAAAGTTGAAAATTAATTACATTTTGGTGGTACAATATCTGTTTCTCTTTAAGTACTTGAGTTTGATGGTGGATTGTATTATTTTCTCAACAATCTTGGGAAACTTCTTTGTGTGACTTAGTGCCAATCTTTTGGTATTTGCTGTTGTTTCTACCCACTTACTTGACCATATCTGTCCATTTCACTCTTGTTTCCTTATTGCTTTGATTATTTCTGCTACAATATTGTCAATGCTAGGAACTTTGCTAGTTGTTATTTTCCTGGTTGTCTCTTTGACTTCTCAGCAGCAGGTCTGTTTCATCATCTGTAATGTTGTATTATTCTTCTGTGTGTGGCTTTAATATTTACAAGGGATTGAGTAGATGTTCAAAGTACTTTTTCCACTTATTAGTTTTTTCTTGGTTAATGATGATGTGTGTATAGGGTCATACAAATATTATTTGCTAGTTGGAGTTCTATATTGGTTAATGATGATGTGTATAGGGTCATACAAATATTATTTGCTAGTTGGAGTTCCATCTTGGTTAATGATGATGTGTATAGGGTCATACAAATATTCTTTCTTCTTGTTGCCTTACAGTTTCATAGAAGTCTTTGATGTCACACTTTTCTTGCTGATCAGCTCACTGCCAAATTTCTGCCATAGTTCATTCTTTTCTTTGTTGATGTTCTTTTTGGCAGGCCTTGACAGCCAGTATTGCACATAGCCTGAACATGGTATTTTTCCAGATCTGTTGTAGGAAAAAAAAATACTTGGCTTCATTTTCTCATATGTTTGCACTATGAAAATAAGAATTTTTCAAACCAAATTTGTGTACATTTTTATAATTTCAACAAAAATCTCTATGTCCATATAAAGCTGTGAACTAAGTAATTGTAATTACTTGATTAGTAACAGATGTTATTTGGCAAAAAACAACTAATAAAAGAGTTTAGAAAGCACTTAAAGTTACCTATAATAAAGGTACTGTTATTTGTTACAGTGTAACATTTTTGCAAATGCACTTTAGGAAATCAAATAAAGAAAAGAGAAAGAACAAATAAATTTTTATTATTTTTCAGTTTTTAGTGTTTTATATATATAGATTATCTGGAACATTGAACATCAGAATTGTTTGTTAAACTAGTGTAGTATGCACATATGCAGACTGACTGTAGAAACAAACAAAAGAACAAAATCAGAAGTTTTCTTATAAGCATGCCATGAATTTCATAAAGCAAAAATACCAAATGTATCTTTCTGATGGTGATTATTTTGTGACATTTTTTTAAAAGCTGTAGAACGAGATATTTAGTCACTGCATAACAAAATATTTTTGTGCTAAACTATAACCGTTCTGAAAGAGAAAATTATTTACGAGTTTTATAATATTGAAAATTCTTAACTATAATGTTTAAGTACACAATGATAAAGTTACTACTTCCATTTTATGCTCTCAACTTACTTTATCTGAGAAAATGCTTTAGAATTACATCATTATTCTCTTGGTTTTATATTTTACCAAGTGTTAGATTGATGTATTAATTACATCATCATTATTCTGTTGATTTTATATTTTACCAAGTGTTAGATTGATGTATTAATTACATCATCATTATTCTCTTGGTTTTTATATTTTACCAAGTGTTAGATTGATGTATTAATTACATCATCATTATTCTCTTGGTTTTATATTTTACCAAGTGTTAGATTGATGTATTAATTACATCATCATTATTCTCTTGGTTTTTATATTTTACCAAGTGTTAGATTGATGTATTAATTACATCATCATTATTCTCTTGGTTTTATATTTTACCAAATTTTAGATTGTGTTGTTTGTGATTTATTATGTGTATCGTTCATTCTATTTAATATTTTCTATGCTATTGATTGCAAATTAATGTTCATTAATTGTCTGTCATTATCTCCGTGCAGTTTGAAGAAGCTACAATAGATATATTAGACATCACAGAGCGTTGGTATAACACTCTTAGCAGGGATCCTATGCATATGTTTTTGGGTATCTGTAAACAGCCATTTCAAGATCTTCGATGTAATGCGCAAAAAGTCATACAGACAATGGCCAGTCAGAAATGGGGACAAAATGAACTTGCAAGATATCCAGGCTTTGTAGAGTACTTACTAAACCGCTCAACAGAGCATGATAAAGAAGGCAGAGAATCGAAGTTTATGATTGTTAAGACTCTAGTTGAATCCCCCACCTCCCAAGAAATCTTTGGAAATGAAACTTTTCTTAAGCTTAGACGTTACTTTCAAGAAGGTCCATTTTTCATGGAAGCAGAGTCATCAGTGGTCTTTGAAAGATCTTCTTGAATTAGAAACTCTTAAGCATTAAAAAAAAAGAATACATCAGCAGCCCAGGACTTTACTGTTACATTATGAATAACCTGTTTGAATATTAAGGTTTTTTTTTGCTGGATCCATTGTGTAGAGTTTTTGTTATTAAAAGCATATAGTATATCCAATCAATTGAAATTTTTTAAATGAAAACATAAGTGAAAATAGCAGAGGCATTACATTGTAACACTCTTTTTTTGTGAATAAATTGATAAAAAACAGAAAAAAGTTTAATCAAAATCAATTGTTATCTTTAAAAGGTGGAGCAAAGTAAACTGTATAATTCTAAATAAATCTTACAAGTTAGAATTTCAATGGCATCAAAATTACTGTTCAACTGTATTTATTGATAAAAGATCTTTGCAACATAATAAAAACAAATATTTAATTTTACATTTGTTTACTCACTCACAACTTTAATGCTAAGGTATGTAGGAATTATTCTAATGTAAAGATCACCAAGACTTTACCAGAAAAAAAAAATCTCTAAGTACTGGTTTATAGTGATAGGCAAAATAAACTTGCTCCTTATTTCACCCGTAAGAAAACGAAAAATGATATCAAAATTAATTTCTAAATTTTATAGATGTCGCTTTCTAAGCTTTTAATAGTTATATATAAAGCCACAGGAAAAAAAAAGTGCAAACAGGATGATAAGATACATCAAAAACATTAATATATATATATATATATATTCCTCGTATATCCATGCTGCTAAGTTATTTTTTAAAATTCATTTGTTGACGCTCCCGTTACGTATTTCTTTTTGTAGGTAGTTAAATATTGGGGTTTCTGCGTGGTTTTGAATTAATAACATACGAGCTGAATGAAATTATATTAAAATAAATGTTTTAGGAACATGTTTTCTAAAAATTAATGATAATCTGGTAACAATATATGTATGGAGAATGACTATCCTATTTCTAGTACTTCACGAAAACAACATTTTTTATGTATATTTTGTCATATCCTTTAAGTATCGCTTGATTAGCAGTTTGACTTTGTATATTTTAAAGTTAGGTTCAAATATTCTTGATATATCTTGATTCTCAAAGACATATTCCTAATTGGTCAACTGTATGACCCTACAAATGCAATGCATTTTATTATGAAATTCGGGGACTTCTCTTTGGACTGTCTTCCTGATTTTGGCTTTGTTAGCCTGCTGAGCTGAAGAAGCGCGCTTTAATTTGGGCATTTTCAAAATGAAATGTGGTGCGGGTTATTATAGAGTGGGTGCGTGTATACCGATTGAATTTTATTACTCATCACGATCTCTAACAACCTACCCTCAAAACTAATTATGTGTCTAAAGTGACTGGTATATATATATATATATCTGTGTGTGAGTGTGGCTGGAAGAATTTAAAAAAAGATAAACTTGCTTGCTTCGGCAGATAGCGCCATCGTTTCGTGCAAGTTGCGTATGGATCGGTACCGCAACGGCCAAAATATCGGCGTGAAAGACTGACTGCTTTTCGACTTTATATAGCAGAATTACTTAAATCTTTAGGTGAATTTTATTTATCACCATTTCCTGTCTCGTTATTTCATACTTAGTTAATTTATCAACACAGAATACTTTCCTAATTTTTCGATCAAACCTGCTGTTACTTGCGTGTTTTCCTGTCTGAGACTTGTAGAGTAATTGGTTTTACCTGAAAATAACATCTACATATCTTATGTATCTTACTGTAATGGAGCAACGGTGTGGTCGTCAAAATCTATGTGACCGAAATAATAAATATAAATATGTCCAAAACATCAAGGGTAGGCTTTAAACTTGGTAGAAATGTTGGGTATAACTAAATAGCACAATCTGAACACTTTTCCCGTGCAGTACTTCCCAGAAAAATAAAATCCCTCAACACCATAAAACAACGAGAACAAATTTCACTAACAATTTTAAATAAAATACGTTTGTCGTGCCATCTACTGATAAAATCTATAACTATTAGCTGCAGTGGAACTAACAGCAAATCTATTTATATAAGAGGCTAATGTTCATCTGTCGGAAACTCTTCCCACGTTTTACGTCCAATTTGGATGAAACTTCGCAGGATTTTTAAACATCATAAGAGGAATTTTCTAACAAAGTTTCATTACAGTTGGGTATCTTATAAAACAAAAGAAGTGAGACTTTCACAGATGGTATGATATATGTGGAATAGTCAAGAACTGAATCGCCTGACAACATGTTCATACTCACAAAAGAGGCAGATAAGAAAACTCGCAATGTTGTATATGAAGAAGTTCTTTAGTCAGTGATAAAATGTTCAAAAAGTTTTCTTATATTATATTGATTGAGATCGTCATGGTAAAGTAATTGAGCCAAAGGCCCAACAATACCTTTCTCAGGAACTATCACAAATAGCCACTCTTTGGGTGGCGTTTCTGCTAGTAATATAAATACATATAATCTTACAAACAATTGTTTAACCAAATATTTTCGTCATAACACACAAATGAATATAAATGTATTAAACTGAAAGTAATTCATAACTTTTTACTTCTTCTTTAGTGAAACTATTATCATATTAATAGTTCTAAACATATATGAATAATTTCATCAAGCGGTTAGTATATAGATTCGGTGACGAGGAACCCACTTTTGAACTAATAATGGCTGGAGACGGCTTGAATGGGTAATGGAGAAAAACTTTAATATAAGTTTAACATAACAGCAAATGTACAACGTTTTGACAAGGTTTTGTACTTGATGATGACGAAACGTTGTACATTTGCTGTTATGTTAAACTTATATAAAGTTTTTCTTCATTACCCATTCAAGCCGTCTCCAGCCATGGTTAGTATATAGATTCAATATCAAAACTAATACAAAAAATCTACTATTATACTAAGAATTTCAAGTGATTTATGAATTTAAAACTATCTATTACTGTAAATTCATTTAATACATATTCTTTCAAAAGTTGAATAGAAATTGAGCTATTTTTTCGTTAAAAGTACATAAAGTACAAACTATTTGCATCATAGGACTACGTTATTTGTGTCTTCTTGATATGTCATGTGAACCACTGGATCTAACCTCTATATATAATTATGTTCTTGTTTTCTAAGTGTAGTAAATTGTTTATGGAATTGAGTTTTCCATTGCTGTATAGGATTCGTTTCTATATTCTTAATTTACTACTGTCTTGTAAAATGCATTTACCTTATTAATGTAATCTTGTTTATCTAAAATTGCTATTGCATTTTTCTTTACCCCCCAGTGGCACAGCGGTATGTCTGTGAACTTACAACGATAGAAACTGGGTTTCGATACCCGTAGTGGGCAGAGCACAGATAATCCGTTGTGTAGCTTTGTGCAGGTACCTGATGATGACAAAACCTTGTCGAAACGTTGTAAATTTGCTGTTATGTTAAACTTATATTAAAGTTTTTCTTCATTACCTATTCAAGCCGCCTCCAACCATTATATATCCAAATACTTCATGAAAAAACTAACTGGTTCAGCTCTATCTTGAAATAACTACACGCTATCTCCTTGACTAGCTTTCAATTCATTTTAATCTCTGCATTGCCCTATGTATATAATCTATTTTCGAACATATTAGAAAAAAATTACGTCACATCCTCAGAATTGTTCAGGTGTTTTTGACCTGCCTTAAGTCAAGCACCCTCTAGCTACAATAATATTTACAATATTAAAGATATAACTTACAACAATACATTAGAACTATTTTGTGGAAGTTAATATTTACCAAGCAACTTCTCAAACTCGTAAATATATTTTTCACTTATTTTTTTCTTATGGAAATAACAAGTTTTAATCCCGTTGCTAAACAGTGCTTTTTTATTTCAGTTAGTTATAATGAAGTTTAGCTATAACTTAATAAATCTGTATCTTGCTTAAAAGTTCTAACTAGTTTAAATCTAACGATTGCTAATTTATTATTGTTTTTTGCTACACACTGAGTTAAGCAAGCAAATTATATTATATTTACTCGTAAACATGGTTATTCATTATTAAAATTAATTAATCTTTCTTGCTAACTAATTTAGTACCCCCACTTTTTAAAGCAATATATCTTTCATATAACGTTATCTGTTACAAATTTTAATTAAAATGAACATTTTTAGGTATTAAATTGTTCTGTATCGAGAGATTTAGAAAATATTGATATATTTTTATTTTAGAAATACAGACGTTTCTGCAACATTATTAATGTGGTTAGACTATATTTATAAAAATATCTATTAATAACGAATTAATACGAAATTTCAAACCCCATAGACATTTTGAAATGTATAAAAAATTATAATAAACATGTTAAACATATGAAATTTTTACATTGAAAACAAATATATATATATATATATATATAAACTGTCCAGGTGGTTAGGGCGCTCGACTCGCACTCTGTGGGTCGCGGGTTTGAATCCCCGTCACACCAAACATGCTCGCCCTTTCAGCAGTGGGGCGTTATAATGTGACGGTCAATCCCACTATTCGTTGGTAAAAGAGTAGTCCAAGAGTTGGCGGTGGGCGGTGATGACTAGCTGCCTTCCCTCTAGTCTTACACTGCTAAATTAAGGACGGCTAGCGCAAATAGCCCTCGTGTAGCTTTGCGCGAAATTCAAAAACAAAAAAAACAAACTGTCCAGGAAAAACAGTCATAACTAATTCATTCTGATGTTTCTTCTGGTAAAAATTACTACACACATCCATTAAAATAAGCACATGATAACTAACTAAATCCTAATGCTTCCGTCTTTTCTAATGACTAGTACACCAATAAAGTATCCCTCTTCAGCTTTAAAATTTATAATAATCCCCTTATATTAATAGGTCATTGTCCATCTTTTATTTATATTTCTATATTTTTGGTCATATCATGGACCATTTTCAGGCAAGCGATTGTAAAATAAATCTAAAAGTCTAGTGCTCAGACCACCCCCCTATATCACTTACTGATGGAGGGGGGCATTGTCTGTATGCCTTTACACCTATAGTTTTTGACCAATCTCAACCAAACAGCAAGCATCTTTAGGGCTCCCGGGGAGTGTCATAACATAACGTTTTCGGACAATATGGGACCTACTAATCACCTCGGTTGTTCCATCCTCTAAACTAAACAAAAACTATTAATAAATAAATTTAAAAAAGAAAACAAATCGCAAAGCCAACCCTTATCATTCATATACTTTTCAAACTTTCTCTTAAACACATTTAAATTTACTGCCTCCATAACATCCGAAGGCAACCCATTTCAAAGGTCAACCAATCTGTTAGAAACATGAAAGATGACTCCTACCCTACCAAAATATATATTTGTGTCCTCTAGTTCTGTTCACTGTTAAGTATGAAAAAAAGATGATGCATCAACATTATCAATTCCCTTTACAATCTTAAACACCTCAATCAGATA